GCCACACACCACGTCACCTCCTCCTCATGGCAACCGCAAGGATAGTAGAACCCGAAGTGTGCGTGGACATATCGAATACCCATTTCCATCCCTCAGAGTAGCGTTCAGTGTGACGATCGATGGTCAATTCAACGGGACCAATGCAGGACCTGCTAATCGCAGCGGTTTATCCACCGCGGAACATCCCACCCAGCTCTCCACCACCATTTCGTCTCTTCCGTACGAGCTGATCTCCAGGATCTTTGCTGTATATGCGGTGGAGTTCGAATTGCTCTTCGATTTATCCTGGACCAAACTGATGCTCGTGTGCCGTCGATGGCACAATATTGGGCTCAGCGACTGCGCACTATGGGGCTTTATCGACGCCTCGGACCCCAAAACACTCAAGCGTACTCGTATCCAGCTGGATCGGTCCGGCGATACACCTTTGACAGTCCACATCGCCTCCTTCGACATCGATGTATCCGCCTCCATTCCTGTTTTCCTTCAACACGCAGAGCGAATTTGTGAGCTGCATCTCGCTTTTCATGTGGTCCCTGTCCTCGTCTTTGCGAATATGCTGTCCCGGCATTCGTTTCCGCTTCTCCGGTCACTGCAACTGGACCCCAGTTATCTGTGGCTCGCGGCCCCGGAGGAGCTGTCAACTACACTTCCCGTCGCGACATTTAAGGGGGCAATGCCGAAACTCACGACGTTGGATGTGTCGGAATTCACTCTCAGTTGGGGCCTCCTCCGGGGACTGCAATCCCTTTCGCTCACCAGGGCGCACGACACCGGCGCCACTCCAACCTTCACCAAACTCCTCTCAGTCTTAGACGCATCCCCATCCCTGGCATATCTGAAACTACACGCAGTCATCCCGTCTCCAACCCCCTCCGAGGATTATGCGGTGGTGCCTCTCCCATTCCTACAATCACTCCGGCTCAAGGACAGGCTTGAGGAGTGTAGCGAGCTGTTCCGCCACATCACAATATCTCTGGACACTCGAGTATCTGTAACTGCCACGAGCACCATCTATAACAATACCGACACGAATCTGCTTGTCGACCTGGGAAATCACATTCGAGGGTCCTCTGCGCCGATGGTGCAATGTGTCCAGGTCACCACCCCCGGCGTAACCTTCGGAGCTACACCTTTAACGGTCCGGACCTTCACCGATATCTCCCAACCCGACACGGGCAAGTGCCATGCCGCAATATTCCGTCTAACCGTACGCCCAGGCACGGACAACGTCCTTGACCGCGTTATGGCCCAGATCTTTGGTGCACTGCCCTGTGCTACGATCACACAGCTCTACTGCCGCATGGCCGCCCGCATCACCGTCGCATCCTGGAAAATTCTCGTCCCATGCCTCCCAGCGCTTGAGACGGTGTACACCTTCCCCGATGGAGGCGGGGAACGGCTCTTCAATGCGCTCATCGAGTTCAGCGAGGCGCAGGGAGGCGAGATGTTCCCGCCACTCCGCCACATCCGGCTTCTCACGTACCAGTGGACGCGGGGGATCCCCATACATTACGAGATGCAGATCACCCGACGCGCACTGGCCGCCTTGTCAAAGTTGCTTGGTCTCCGCCATGCGCGCGGGAAGCCAATTGAGGTTCTCGAAATCGACGTGCAACCGGAGCCCTTGAATGTAGGACCCGATGAGTGGAATGGTCTCGTTGGGCGCATTGTCCAGCACGAAGATTTCGTGGAGGACAGATGAAAGCGACGAAGGAGAATTTGAAACACTCAACGGGGGAAGCTTTCCTCCTTCATTATTTCTTTTCCCGCTCTGCATCGGATTTTCTGCTGTCCTCTATATTTGGGCTGAAAGCCCAATCGCTAATCCCCATGACTTATCTCAGAAACTTCCATCTCTTTCAATGCCATGTCCTAATTTGCCGGCGGGTGCAGAACGACTACCGTTGGTAGAAAGAAGGGCTGCCTCAGATGGCCAATTTGTTCAAACGCCAGGTCTAAGTTTGACCGTTGCATTCAGCAGACAGGACGATGATGCTGAACCACACCAAAGCTTACCACATCACAAATTAGCGTTACATGTCAACAGCTTCGCTCTCTTTTGTGTTTAATTTCGTGGGTGGAGGTCTTTCCCAGACAAGCAGTACGTATGGGCGGTGATCCCAGTAAGCCCAACCACGTATCAATCATTCTCGAGGTCAGTAGAAAAACCCTTCATCGCTTATATTGATACACCCTGGGTACATGAAGTCAATTAAGAATGAAGTATACAGTAACATACAATGCGAGTCCAAGCTCGAAAAACACTACATTACCATATACATCACGATCTCGTCCGAAGCTTCCGCACCCCTTTCGCCACGGCCTTCAGCCGCGCGCGCCACAACCGTGCGCCCTGATGGTCTGGTTCAGGGCCCGTGTCTACTACATTCGGATCAAGCCCCTCCTCCATCTCGCGATGGAGCGGCGCGCGCCAGATGCGCCAGAAGAAGAGGAACGCGGCGCTCGCGAAGGCAATGAGGAGGATGAGCAGCGCGAGGAGGAGCGTGTGGGCTTCCCCGTGGCCGACCGTGAAAGCGGCGATGGCGACCGTGAAGCTGAGGACGGACCACTGGAGCGTCGCCAGTGGAAGTGCGAGGAGACACGCAGTGAACGTGAGGCTGAGTGCCATGGCGGTTGCGGACTGGGGCGCGCTGGTGGGCTTGGCGGCGCGTTTACGAGCGAAGCAATGGGGGAGGAAGTGGATGTAGTTGATCTGCGGTGCGTGTGAACTATAATTGTGGGGGGTGGGTTTGATTTGAGAGTAGTACTTACAGCATCTTCGATCTTGGCTTCGGTCTTATCGCGGTGCTGCCAGACGTGGTAGAGGCCGGTGACGATGCTCGCCATGGCGCAGAGGGACGAGACGAGCGCGGAGGTGCGTTGGAGAGCGGTGATCCCCTGCACGGAATGATCTCAACAGGATCGTCTAGGTAGTTCCAAGAGACGCACCGGCACGGCAAGGAAGCCCACGTTTACCCTGTGATCATACCCCATAAGCACTGGCTATAATTGAGGGAATAGTGCACGCACGATACGAATACGGTCGCGACCAGGTTCGAGTCTGCAAGGTACAAGTCAACTTAAGACACTCCGAGTGAGTGAAACAACGCGTCGGACTCACCCGCCCACTCGGCCATCATATTCTGCATCAGTTGTCGGAAATCGGAGAGTGAAACGATGCCGTTCGGGACGGTGCACTCGAGGCGCGTGCGGTAGCTCTTGTGTGTGCCGCAGAAGAGCACGCCGAGCGGGATGTCGAGGAAGAGCACATGCCAGGTGGGCGCAGGGATCGCGACGTCGCGGTATAGCCGTGCATCAGGCGTGCCGTAACCGTACCGCGCGCGCGCCTTCTCGATGTGTGACATGACAGTTGCGATGTGATACGCGAGGGCGGGGACGAGCGGCACATTGCTTGCTGCGCGCCGTGTAAGCCAGGACGCGTCGTAGAGTGTGTGAAGCGAAGCATACCTTTGAGGTCAAAATATATTTGCGTGAGGCGCAGGATCTGCGTGTCTTCGAAGGGGAACGTGGTGGCCTTTTCGTCCATTATACGTTCTGGTGAAGCCTCAGCCTAATTGCCATTGCATCAATAAGGAAGGTGCCATACCGTTCGCGCCGAAGGCCAATGCACTCAGGAAGTTCGATTCCATGACCGGGGGGAGGTGAGTGCGATGCATGGGGTACTGCGCAACATACGACCAGAAGTCGGACTTGGACTTGAGGACGGCTCCTGCAGCAACAATTTAGAAATCATCCCGCAAAGCGGGGCACGGCGCAGCTCACGGCTCTGGTCCGCGTTTGTGGCGTAATCGTATGCACGTCCGCGCCGCCACGACGCCACAGTGATGGAGGGAGGGCAGAATGATTTGGCCGGGTCGTCACGGTGGAAGAGCAGCATCTCCGCGTCCTCGAGAGCGCGGTGGCTCTGTATGAGGTTGTTCAACCAAATGCGGTGGTCGGTGTGCACCTTGAGCAGCCGTCTGAGCGCGAGAGAGTTCGAGACGTTGTCCGTCGTCAGAAGCCGCAGGTCGGGGTTGTAGAAGTATATCGAGCCGTTAGGATGCACAAACTTGTCCCAATCGTCGGGGAATTGGGGGTCCCTTGTGTGTGTGTTGTGAGTCAGGGCTTGCAGGATACATGGATGGCGGGGCTTACTGAATTGTGGGGACGAAGGCAGTTGAGGAGGCGTCAGAGAGTCCACCGACCGAATTATCGTCGTCAGTTTCAGACGGGGGTGCCATGGAAGAATTGGTGAACGGGGACCAACGTGGACCCACTTACATATATGTACGGAGGCCTCCTTTGCGAGAAACAAGGTAACCATTACCGCCAATTTGGACCTCAGTGCATGCCGTGAAGCATATGCATCAAGGACAAGTAAGTAGTCTCGGCACCCGGCTGGGGGAGAGTGCACAGAGCAGAGCGCGGCTTGTGGATCCGTGTGTGTCCAAGGTTCGCGCCAGAGCGGACAAGATGACAGGGCCGTCGTTAGGGAGGACAATAGCCCGTGAACGCCACATTGTATCTTGACGTGACAGGGCTGGGAGCTATTGGAGGACAAGACTGGGACAAAGGACAAGAGGCAAAATGATCCGATCATTGATCGTTGCTCAAGGCTGGCTGTTGTCGCACAAAGTGTGCGAGTCAAGGACGGAGGGATCAAATCGCCAAGGACACGCAATCTATATTGACTCTCTGTTAAAAACACAACGGATACAGTTAATTTGTTCGGATTAATTGAGCAAGAACGGAGTCAAAAGGCACAGAGGTGTATAATCGAGGAGCCAATTCTTACGCCCCCGAGCCGATGAGTTAACGAGACAGTTGTTCATGAATTTAGCTTAACTGAGGCGGCGCAGCTCACGTCACGTGGGGAAGTTTCTGATTTCATGGACGCACTATTGAAACTTCAAATGAAAGGCGTTTCGGTACGCGATTTCAGCTTTTTGTTTCTCTGGCAGCGTGGTCATGTAACCTTGTTTGCCTCGATATGCATGGACACTATAGCTCAGTGGTAGAGCGTACGATTGCAACCTTGCTGTTGCCAGTTGTTTGGTGGTGTAATATCATCGTGATGTCCCGTGTTCGAACCACGGTAGTGTCTCTTTTTTTGTCCTTTTTTGACCTGCAGGTTCAACCAATTTCCTTCCCCAGTGCTTTAGTCTCTGGCGGTACGTCCTGACAATTTTGCCTCACCTTTTGACCTCCCGCCGATCCCGCAATAGTGTTATATTTTCTTGTGCTAGACCGCTCTGCCCCAGAGATTAGTCTTCCGCGCTCTCGATGCCCAGCCTCCCCACCTACTCTCCTCTTTACATGCATACCTCTCTGTGTGGTCAAGATTAAATTCTGGTGCAACCCCAACTCTTCCCTTAAATTTAACACACAACTCGTGCATCACAATTGAAAAGAACATAAGTGTGTATGAATAATCCTACTACAGGGCGTGTGCATTGAGAACAATCACAGATATATTATTATCTATTGTAATATCCATTGCTCATCAGACCAAAAACGCAAACAACATCAGCCCGGCAGCAGAAGCAGCAGCTGCCCCCGTCCTGGCCACATTGAATTCAGCAGAATTCTTCCCCGTTTCTGTGGGAGCCGCCGGGACGACGCCAGATGCTGGAAGAAAGAATATCCATGTCAGTTTAGCGTTCAGGCGGATCTTTCCGCTGGAAAAAGACGCACGGCAGTTGCTCTTCAAGAAGCCCTGGATGGTGTCCGCGCTGATGCTGCAGGTGCTTCCAGCGCATTGGGTGACGTTCGTCACGTACACTTGCGACGTGCATGAACAGGTAGCATTTAACCTGGGGCCCTCCAGCGTCAGTTCATTGATGCACTCCGTTTATACCTAAGACGCACCCACAGCCGCTTGCCTTAGCAGCAGTAGTGGAGCAGTTCAAGAGGCATTCCGTTGTGGGAGAGAGCCCGCCGTCGTCTGCGGCATTGACGGATATGAGGAGGAGGGACACGACTATGGTAGAGAGAAAAGATAGCATTGTTCTGAGAAGAAAGAGAGCGGACTTGAAGTGAAGGCAACGAAAATTAAGATGAGAGCTATGGGGCTGCTTGAGCCTTTAAAACATCCTGCGTACGCCAAGAAATCGGCAAACCACATAAGCACAGAGTGTTCGGCGACATCGGGTGTGGCATCTCGATGGGCGGGTCTTGGGCGGGTCTTTGTCTCCGGACAGCGCTTCAGCCTCCTACCTCGGCCCGACAGCGATCTTCCGCGCTCATATAGAGGGAACGCATTTAGCCCTCAATGGGATTTTGTAGCCAAGCCCCTGATCTCCGCTGTTAAGGGCTGATGGCACAGCTTATATCGCCGCTGATGGTATGTACGTATACCCAAGTACGAGGACAGTCAGTCAATTGGTTTCCAGCAAGCAGGGAATCAAGGGATGTATGTGGATCCACTATTAGGATATAATGGGAGGCTGTCCCCGCCTCTGATGAAGTATCCAGGCTGTCGACGTCCCGTTATGCAAACGCGTTGAATCTTTTCGGCTTCAACGGAGGCCCAAAATCTCAGGTTGGTTGACTCAATATGTTTGGAGCACGCCTAGGACGGGCATCGCATGGAGGAATATTCTGGGACCGGTGGATGAGCAGCTGCGAAGCTCTCCACTTATGATATACATCGTCGCAAGCTTTTAGGGCCGAATCCTCCTTTCGGGGGAGGGGCGTCGCTGGTTACGGCGGGTCCATCGTCCACTGTATATGCGGTTGCGCTCTAGTGTTTGGGATGGTGCCCCCGCATGCTCTTCGGACTTTGATTCGCCGTTCTCCGCATTCGAGACCGTCAGACGGCCCCTGGCAGCAATGTCTGTCATGCAAACGCGTCATCTAGAGAGCGCTAGACTTGAGTATTTTTGAATCCTTGCAATAAGCATTTGATCCCCATCGTTTGAAGGCCGCACAGTGGTTCCAGCTTTGCCGCGTTGAAACTCCGCCAGCCGTTGATCCCATGATCGAATCATTACGGCAACGACCTCTTGCCTCCTACCACCATCGCGGACCGTGCACAACCGGAACCTATGGACTTGAATGCAGAAAACGGATCGGCTGAGATCACACCTGTGCAAGATCTATACTTCGCAGACGGCAGTCTGGTCATACAGGCAGAGCATCGAATCTTTCGCGTTTCAGGCGCAGTACTGGCTGCGCGATCCTCTGTCTTCCAAGATATGCTCTCATTTCCGCAGCCCAGCGACGGACCGTCGGCGGTCGAAAACATAGAAGGAATTCCTATCGTTGTGCTCTACGACATGGCTGCTGAAGTGGAGCCGTTTCTGCGGGCAATCTTCGACTCGAGGTGTGCAATTCCAATGATCCAATGGGCTTCACCTGATCGATTTGCGCAAAGTTCCTTCATGCCTCCTCCGGCGACAGCCCCATTATCAGATATCCTGGCCATCTTGCGACTGAGCCACAAATACGACATCCAATACCTCCACCGCCGCGCGCTGGATCATCTGTCTGCAGTCTTTCCTACCGAGCTTTCTGTGTTCCTCACAACCTTGAACTCCTTGCCCGAGGGTTTCAAGGCGCTGGAATCGTCTGTGGACGCACACCTCCAGGTTCTCCGGACTTTGCACGAGGTCAACGCGCTCTGGCTCCTCCCTGCTGCCTACTCGCGCGCATCGACCTTCCTCCCCCGGAAACTCTTCGCTGCGTCGAGCTGGCCAGCGCTTCCGGACGAAATTAAAAACACACTGCACGTCGCACACGCCCACCATTCGCGGTACATCATATCCATCGTGCAATGCGCAGGGCGCGAACCGCCCGAGGCGTGCACTGCGCTCGACACGTGTCCTTCAGGGATCCTCACAGTGATTACCGCGCTGATGGAGCAGGTCGGGGATGTTGACATGGAGTGCAATTTCTTCGACGTGAAGGACCTTTTTTTGCCAGGGCTGTGGGCGGGGTTTGACGCGCCGCTTTGCGCGGTGTGCATGACGCACACGACACAGGAGGTGGCCATCGGCGTTGGGAAGGTGTGGGACGCACTTCCTACGAACCTGGGTCTGCCACCGTGGGACGAGCTGCGGGCGATGAAAAGCGCGGCCATGGGGTAATCGATGCGGCTAGGTACTCAACACAATTAGTCGTCTGGCTGCTAATCTTCGATGGAATAGATTCTGTGACACAACCTTCCTTGCAGACTGACACGTTGTACACTAAAACATCATACCTTGCTCGAATTACCACCGCCCCATGCCATAGTGAGTCTCATTACAGGCAGATCCCCCCAGGTTTCATCATCCCGAGCAAGAAGTTTCAACCAAGTACTTTAAATCTCCAGCGTCTTTCAACGCTGATTCAGCGAAGCTCTTGATCCCACTAGCTTGATCGCGGGATGGTGCGACGCCTAAGCCGATTTCTCCCCCGCGGCCACTTTATTTGCCTTCCCCGGCATCGGCACAATTTCGACAATGCCTAAGAGCTCAGGAGTCTACGGGAAGGTAAGTTCGAGCATGCAAGGTTATAAATCCGGTCAGGAAGACCAACAAGTTTGCGCAGCTGCGAGTATCCTTTCATTGCGCCGGGGTTGCTCGTTGCCTGCAATCTCGGCATTACGCAATGCGAAGAGTCAGGATGGATTGGAGTACCTTCCGAGTGAGTGGAAGAGCGGCGAGGAGTCCGAACGAACTGAGGACTGTGAGGCATACGATAGGGTATTTCATGCTGTAAGGGGCGCTCGTCTGGGGATGGGTCCGATGAAGGCGAATTTAAGGCGAATGGCCCGAAGAATGTTGCGACGGCCTGTCGAGCTCAGGGTCATTAGCCTCGAGTGGTCCACCGTAGATGGCATTTCGATCTGGGACTAAGCTTGAACACGACACAGGATTACTCGTCGGATTGACAGCAATCAAGCTCCGGCCGCGAGTTTCTCCCGAAGAGCGGTTCGTACGGAAGCATCTCAATGAAAGTCGGCGTGGGTTGTCATTGGGCCTGCTTTGCCGTTCTTTTTTGGAAGAGACGCTTGATTCTTTGGCAAAGTTGTCAAAGATTATCGACCTTGGCATCGTATTCGGCACCTCTTCTCAGCAAGAACCTTCAACCTGGATGAGCCCCAAGACATTTTTAACCCTAAAATGCTAATCCCTAAACCCAACGGAAACATAGTGCTGCATAACATCTATCGTGGCGCCGAACAGCCCCATTCACTCACTCCTCGCTATCTTCCCAGACCTCGGCCGGCAGATGCGTCGCGAGCAGGAGCGCCAGAGCCGAGAGGCCAAGCAGAATGACGTACACTGCATACCCGCCCAGAAGATTGGTTTCGACGGAGAGCGAGAATAACGACGTCGCCATGGCTGGGCCGATGGCTTTCGCGGATGAGGCGGCGGTCTGTGCCAGCCCGTTGACGGTGCCACGGCTCCCCGTTGGCGCGGACGCTGTGAGGAACATGAAGATCGCACCTGGGTCAGACGGCGTAATGTAAGCTGTGTGGATTCGACGAGTCAGAACACGAAGATAGGCGCACCGAAGGCAGTGCCGAGGAGGGCGCCGAGCGCGAGGAGGCACCCGAGGAGCGCCCACACGAGCGGGGTGAGGCCCCCGTGCTGCGCGACGAGGCTCATCGCGGGGAAGAGCGCGAAAATGGGGAGACACGTGCAGAGCCCCGCGATGAACATGCGCGTTGCGCCAAAACGCGTGATGAGCCGCGCCGAGAAGAAGACCTGGAAGAGCGCGGTGGGGATACTGTACGCGGAAAGGATCAGCCCGATTTTTGCCGGCGGCAGGCCGAGCCCGCCGATCTCGATGGGCGTGGCGAGGAAGAGGGGAAGGAGCGCGGAGAGGGTGATGTGGAGGAAAGAGAGTGTGACGTAGTTAGAGATGGAGATGATCACAGGGAAGGTGAGTAGCTCGCGGACAGGGAGAGGCCCATGTTTTCGACCGGTAGGACTCCGCGGGTCCATATCATCCATCATGATTACGGGGGAATAACCGTTTTTACGAGGAGCGGTCTGAGAATCGTCACGATTGGCGGCGAACAGATGAAATTAGCGAGAGGACAGACCTCTTCGAAGAATGCCAAGACGATGAAACAGGACATGAGGATGAAGGCTCCCGTCGTCAGGCACGGCA